TACGTTAATCCTTTGTGGGTACTGAGGATTAATTAATTATGTATTAATCAAATTATAAGAGCGTATGTTTCTTACCCATTATATGAAAATGTTTTTAGAACTATTATTCATTAATTCTTATATATTCTTCCAACTTTAATCGAAGATAAATACAATATCATTTTATAGAGCCATCGCTATTATAGATGATACATACAATATAATTCTCTTAGTATTATTTTTATATTTCGGTATACTTTTTGCTTGTTATGGTTTCCTGATAATAAATGTAAGTACTTAAAAATATTTCACATATTTATCGGGCCTTTTAATTTGTGTTAATGTAAGAGAAAAAAAGAGAATTTCATCATATTTATATTTTTGGCAACGTTTCATATTTAATATCCACAATACAATTTTCTTCAAAAATAAATTGTATAAAGATTATGTTTTATTTACATGTCATTTAGTTAATAGAAAAGGGGAATAATATATCAATTACTCACCTGACATATGAAATATGTATTCTTGTCAACACATTTGGTCATATGTGTGTCTATTGTGCTGTAGGAGAAATTCTAGTGGCACAAGTAAGTTGAATAATATTTCTTTTTATTTTTTATTGTATTTTCACCATTTTGAAGTTAGTACTAATGTCTAGAAAAATATTATTTTTCTTATAATTTCGCATCTCTATCAGTTAAAGAAATTATACTGTCAATACATTAAATATAAAATACAAAACCATATATAATATAAGATAAAATCAATACTTTAACCAAAAAATTAAAAAATTTTTAACGGTTTTCAGTGCGATCAAATTCACAGTGCTGTGTATAACAACAAATGGTATACTTTAGAGCCAAGAAGCGCAAAATGTTTAATTGTCTTATTAATTAGAAGCAACAAATCGAATTATCTTACCGCTGGAAAAGTGTTTCCTATGACAATGGCTACATTTTGTAACGTAAGATGTTAAATGTATAATTGCAATATATAATTTTACAATATTATATATATAAGTATATATGTAATTTCTGCCTTTATCTTTAAACAAAAATTGATTATATGTTATAAACATTATAAACATATAAAATCTTCCTTCGCATGAAACTTAAAATTCATATTTAATATTTATCTTCAATTATTGTATATTATTATTGTATATTATTTAATATTTATTTTCAATGATAACTATTTTCTTTTTATTACTTGACTTAACTTTTATTACTTAACTAGTAGTAGCTGATTTATTACATGCTTTGCTTTAATAGTTTGTATTTGCTTATATATTAGACATAATATTATTAATATATTTTTCAGCTCATAAAAACATCAGCCAGTTACATATCTGTTCTCCTTACAACAAGAAAAATAGAGGTAAATTACCTAATCGAAAAATAGAGGTAAATTACACATGATGCAAAAAACCTTTTGAATTACATTGAATTAATTATGTAATCAATTAATAAATTATAATAACTTACAGATTAATTGTATAAATTTTAATAATACTGAGATAAATAAAATAACTCTTACATATTTAAGCACAAAAAAGATATGGCATTAAGACATAGCATTTTATAATTTTTTAACAACTTTAATAAGTATATTTTGACAAAAACATGAACTATCTAAATCTAATTGAAAATTTAACATTCATTTCTTAATTATAAATCTTAATATTTTATATAGAATAATAGAATGAATTAATTGATATAAAGAAAATATATAATGCTTTTCAAAATAAATATATAATATTATATTACGCATAAATTTTTTTTTAAATAATGTATTTTCTTTACATCAACTGATTCATCTTATTGTTCTATAGATATATATGTATATTCTATAGAGAGAGATATATATATATATATAGATATATATATAGATATACATAAAAATATTAAGAATTACCAAAAAATGAATAATTTACAAAACATTTTATATTTCATAGCAAAATATACATAAAGAAAATATAAAATGTCTAGCAAATAACTAATTTTTTAATAACTTCATCTTAATACTGTTATATGCAGAATAATTAAAGGAATCATATTATATAAAATAAATTCTATAATTTCATTTAAAAAATAGCTATAAGATTAATATAAAAAAGTGTCTTATCGAAAATGAATTTTATTTGTCTTCCTTCTAATTAACTTTTGTCTAAAACAATTTTGTCTACAGAGTTTCGATATTCTGGTGATTTATTTTATGTTCTCTACCCAATATATTTAAATATAACTATGAAGAAAAATTTTATTAAAGAAACATTTGCATAAAGTGAGTTTGAATATTCCGTACATTCAAATAAATTTCATATTTTATCGATAAAGCTAAATTAATTACGACAAGTAAATATTCTTTTGCTATAAATACAATAATTGAGAAAAAATTAATCAATCCTCATTATTTGTTTATTAAATAGATGATAAAGACAAGAAAATTATAACTATATTCTCAATTATATTCTCTACAATATCACAATATTATATTTATTTTAAAACTGCAATGATAGATAAACCGAATAAAGACTTTAATTGCAACAGAAAAGCAATCTTATATACAAAGTGTTACTTATTACATATAATACAAAAACAAAAAAATATAATTTAGATCACGTGCAATGCTCGAAATCGATTACAAGTTTGTAAGAACTTAACAAGAAGAGGTAAAAAATAGATTACAAACAAGCATTTAATAACTCCTCAATATTATACCAGTTTTATCTATTTCGAATGTTGTACACACGAGGCACTGACAAAAAATTTTACAGCAGGAAAGGTTTACAATTTTTTAAATCCATCCTCTTTATGCAATAATTATATAAGTGTCACTTTTAAAAACTTTTATTATACACACATATATGAATTAGCAATTAAATGAAAGTTAATGTCGTTCTATAAGGAGAAAGTAGATGTCAATAAATAATGAAGAAATTGTACGAAGCAATGAAATTATAGCTAGATTCTATAGTGATGGAGTTCTGTGATCAAATAATGATCATAGATATGAGGAACTTCGCTATGAAAAATGTCTACATTCGAAAAGTAAGTATATAAAAGAGGCCTAATATCATAAAATTTAAAATAAAAACTTATATATTGTACTTAATTTTTACAATAAATGTAATATTACTCACAATTAGACGTTAAGAGATGACTATAGTTCAGACTATAGACACCACAAAAAAATCGATTACGATTGCATACAAACATGATTGCTACATCTACATAACTTGAAGCATGACCAACTACTTATCAACCAGTCATTACTTCAGTTATTATTCATGACTGCTTTGAACGTTGTTGTACTAATAATTATCCGCAGTTGCACAATAAAAAGGGACAGAATGTAGAATTTTTTAAACCGTCTGCCACTAAACATCTCTAAGAATTTTTATTATGCACATGAAATATCATCCCAATTGTATAGACGCTGTAAAAGAAACAAAGTTGTCAATTCATCTCCTATGTTCAACATGGAAGCATCAAAATGTCTTGCGTATCAAAATCATAGTAGATATGATTATGAATCATTATCAAAAAAAGGTCAATATATTTCATCAAAAGTAGAACGCAAATCTATTAAATCTTTCTTAAAACAGATTTCGAATGGGCAGTGGAGTTAAATCGATTTAGTCTAGAATTAATTGGACTTTGGCCTAAGTCCAAACAAAATACATGGGAAAAACGTTTGTGCAATTTACGTGTACTTCTTATTTTCTTATTGATAATACTTGCCCTTATGATTCCTGCTATACATTCTCTAATAAGAGTCCATTTTGACATTTTACTTGTAACGGATAATTTGATGTGTACTTTACCAATTATTACTTGCGTCTTAAGACTTGTAATTTTTTGGTGGAAGAGAAAAGGTAAATAATGTACCAATGTACCAAAAAATTTGACTGTTACACTATGTGAAATGTTTACAATACACATACATTTTATATATCAACATAAGTAATTTCTATTTTTTGTACAATTCTAAAATGGAATTAAAGGTTTATTTATATTTATATTGAATTTTAGAGAAAAACAAAATAAGTTAGATTGTACCGCAGTTGTTATTGATTTATATACAATAGTAATTATTTATATTTATTGCATATATGTAGAATTATTGTTATAATTGCGGACTAATCACATATAATTCCAAAAAATTTTTTTTAATTAACTATAAATAAAATTATTTTCTTTATAAATTGTTGGTCATTGAATTCGAATTTATAAATCAATTTGCTCTTTATTACGTGTTTAGTTTTTTATAATTCTTGTACAATCAAGGAAAATAGCGGAAAATCTGTAAACATTAAAAAAAAACAAAAATTAAAAAAGACAAAAATGCAATTTTTTAAAAACCTGCTACTATATTTTATTTTTCGATTATCTAAAAAATGTGAAATAGTAAAATAGTTTAAGGCTTTTGTGTATTTACTTGAGCTATATTGAAGCGTCATAAGGGCGTCATAAGAGAGAAATGTGTCATAAGCGACACGTTTTTTTTATTAACTATTGCTTGACAACTCGGAACCTTTATATTTAATTGAATTAATTAATATTTTTTTGAAACAGCAACTTTTTTTCTCAGTGTGTACATAATTAACATTTATTTTATTATATCGTTATTAATTTCTTGTCATTATATTCTTAAAGCTGTCGCACTGATAATACATTTGATTGCAAACGATTGGACAAAGACAACAACCTCTCAAGAAAAAGCAATGATGATAGCAAAAGCCCAAATTGCACGCATTATTGTCATATTTGGATATGGCATAATGGGAGTGGGCATGATTATTATGTTTGGTTTGCCTTTATTTGGTTTCTCGGTGAGATATCTATCTAATGTTACTGCAGATCTAGAAAAACCATTCCCAATTCAGACATATTATATCTACGATACAACAAGAAGTCCACAATATGAATTGACATATGCTGTTCAATGTATTATTTTATTCTTTTGCACCGTGTGTTATACAGGCATAGACAATTTTCTTAGTCTTTCAGTATTTCATATTTCTGGTCAACTAGACATTCTGAGAAATCATCTCTTGCATTTACATATTGTCGCCAATTTTAACAATGTCTTGAAGATTTGTATAATGGAACATATAAGACTGCTTAGGTATATATTGTCCAAAATACATGTTCCTATATATGTACAATAGACTCTGGATTATCCAACAATACTTTTTCGTCTCCGGATTACGTTAAACTACGTTAAAGAGTTCTCATAATGATAGTTCTCATAATGATACACGGGATTTTTTAAAAATACTACTGACTCAATAATAAAGTCAGATAAAATAAAAAAAGTCGGAAAATGAAAAAAACGCTGTCGGATAATTCGGAGCCTATTGTATATCTATGTGTTTCAAGTATAACATATATATGTAAGTAATATGTAAGGATCAAATAATTGAAAGAATAAATTAATTGCAATATTACGTGTAAATAATTTTGTACATAAATTCTTTATTGTAAATAAAAAACATATAATGGAGAGAATCCGATAATGAACGGAATTGAGAATTAAATCGATTATAATAGCGTTGTTGCGTTGAGAGATACGAATCAAAATTACTTTGAAAAAGGCTCCTAAGTAGCGTATAGTTATCTAGTTACAATTTAAATAAGTTCTTTCTGCTAAGTTTTTTGTCTGTAAGCAATTTCAGTGATTTCTGTAATAACTAATAACAAAACAGTTTTAAAAAACGTCTGATTAAATTTTACTTAGCTTTCTCTTAAAAATTTTTTCAAGCATTAAAATATTCATAAAAATTGAATCCAAAGGAAATATAAATTGTAGATCCAAAGGAAAATAAAACTTTACGACACTATCTGACATTGTCTTTATCAGTTATCACAAACTTTTTTACAAATTCATACAAAAAAATTTAATTGTAAAGAAATCAATTAATCCAGAACCACGCCACATGGCAAACTTATTAATAATTATTATTAATAATTATTATATAATATGATATTAAAGTATATTTCTTATCAAAACAGAAAATTGTTAGTTCAAAATTATATTAAAAATTTAGACAATTAGTATTTTTATCTAATAATACAAAATATCTTCTTATAAATGAGTATATAAGCATGATAAATATCTTCTTTAGTTTAAAGTGTTATATAAAATGACATTTTCTAGATTTATTAATCATGTGGAAGATATATTCAGTATAATATTGCTAATACTATTTCTATATTTTGGTATACTCTTCGCTTTCTATGGATTTTGGATAACGAACGTAATTATTTTACAAGAACTTTTTGTTATACAATTTACTGCTTTACAAATAGTTTTTCATATACATAAAAATAACATCATGTTTATGTTCCAATTGTAATCGCAACTCACATTTACATACTGTTTTTTATTAATAAGAA